GCACATAGCACAGCTGACATAGAGGAGTATCCAAACTTTTACATTGAACATTATTAAGAAGGGGTTTGGCATTCAATTTGGCTTACTCAGAGTGCCCATTATAATGTGAATATAGAAACTGAAGACAAGACTAGCTTTACAAAGTTCAGTCACAGGTGTGGAAAAGTCCCACCTTAACTACAGTTGATATGCTGAGCAAGAGGAAATAAAACAACTTCCAAAACAAGGTGAACATATTTCACTGTTCTTTTCAGGAAGTGTTGTTAGGAAAGACAGTACAGATAAGCTTCATAGTAATCTCAGCTTTACCTTGTTCTCCCCTTCCTCTTTGTGCCTGACCTGCCCTTCTCAAATATATTTTTAACAGTGTTGGGCAGAGACAGCTGCTCTGTCTGGCCCGTGCTTTGCTGCGAAAGACAAAGATCCTGGTCCTGGATGAGGCAACAGCTTCTGTTGACATGGAAACGGACAACTTTGTGCAGTCCACCATCAAAAGAGAGTTTCACAACTGCACAGTATTAACTATAGCCCACAGGTTACATACAGTCATAGATTCAGACAGGTAAGTTTTCACCTACTGAGGTTTACCCTCCCAACACTTCTAACCTTGATGTCTTTGTACCTTTGTAATCCAAGATACCAAAAAAGACATGAACATCAATTTTAATTAAATATCGATAACCTGTGTTCCGCTTCCCCCTTCTAGTTACAGAATTAATTTACTAATTTTCCTGCTAAGGGACAGGTATAAGCTACTAGTAAGACCACTTAATTCTCTAGAGTGAATGGACTATACTGTAGCATTTTTACCAATTAAGCAAAAATGCCTTTTTCAAAAGGTTTTTTTTTTAACATACTAGTTCCTAGCTTTAGAATGAATGAACTAATGAATTCACTAATGCAATTATATTTTTTCTAAGTAAGCCTTCCCATTATCCAGAGATATCTGAATTAGGACTGAAAAATACAGTTGAAGATCTGATTTTTCTTCTCCTGTTATGTTTCTGTTTTTGTAGAGTGCTTGTTCTGGATACAGGAAGGATTCTAGAATATGATACACCACAGAATTTGTTGCAACGAAAAGGTGCCTTTTCTGAAATGGTTGCAGAGGCTGGGATAAGAAGATAAAGCAAACTAATGAATGAACTCTTAAGGAACACTCAAGGGATCTCTGGCATTCCCCATACATAGATGCAATATTTTATATTCCTTATAAAATACCTTACTTAAGAGCTTACTCAAGAGCTCCTGGCAGCATTGCTCTTTCCTACAGCTACAACCTGTTTATATTGATCAGATTTCCTAAAATAACTTTCAGATTTTATACAAATCACTTCTTTTGATCACGTTGGCACTGGAACAACATAATGAAGCAGTAATTTTCATGGCATATGTTAACTGTTGCACTAATGAAGACTGATTGAAAAATAAATCTTGCTGTTCACAGGTTGGTCTTAATTAAAAAATAGTACTTAATTAAGCTGCTCTGTCATTATGCTCGTTTAGTTAATACATTCTTATTATGATTACACATTCAAGAAAAACAAAACTGCTTGTTGTGTGGACATACAGACAGATGTCACTTGGGGCTGATTTTTAGGACGTGCATATGTACATGTATACTTAGGTAGTTCTTGAGACAATAAATGTGCCTTTTGACCTTGTGATTTCTGAATAACTGAAAATCATACATCTTATGTATCTAATTGTGCATTACAAAATCCCATTGTGAAAGAATCCCAGAAAAATACAGTCAGGTGCAGCTGCCTCTTTGCTAGTAAATTTTAAAGTAAACCTCAATACTAATTACAGCAGCAGGACAGGTTATATACATTTACTGAAAGTGCCAGTCAAATGTGCATGTGCTTTTTACTACAGTTCCTGGAGCTCTTCCAATTTAATACCAACTCAACGAGTGTAATCTAATTTTACTTAGTTTTTTAAGATAAGATCCCCATCAACTGCTTTAAAAAAAACAAGGTACCTGAATACAGTTCCAGGCTACAGCCCTGTTATATTAGTTTAATATTGACACCTGGTTTATATCAAGTATGATCTTAATGTCTTACCCAATAGCAAGCAAAACATATTTACTGTTTTAGAAGGGTGGTGGAGACTCTCTTAATAGAGTTCCTCAAAGATGTGATTCTACTTGCAGTGAAGGTGAATGGTTTCTCTCTCCTTTCCTGAAGGTAAAAACGCAAGCCTATCCTCGAACGTTACAAAGTACTGTCCAGTTTAACTGGCTGCAAAACACAACTCAACATACTTTCACTCCCAGGAAACCATTAGAAGCATATAATGGTTTTAGACTAGGAACAACCCAGCCCAAGTAACTATTATGTTCTGAAAGTCGTGGAGAGATGGGTGTTAGACAATATTTCTCAAGACACAGAAAAATGTTCTGCTTTTCTTCTCTTTTCCTCTTTTTTCTCCCAAATTAGGCCAGCAGTACCTTCCCAACTGAGCAGGACGTTTTCATGCCCATATTTACCTTCCCTGCAACATTCACAGTGTCCCAGGCAGGCTCTTCTGTGGCTCTGCTTCCCCCAACCTTGTCCCTATCCCTTCCCTGCCTTTCCATGCTGCCCCTCCAAACCTATCCTTACCTGAAGTATTGCAGAGGCACTGGAAAGAACTGAAGTGAGTGCCATTCCATAAGTGATTGATAAGTTTTAGGCATAAGGCTAGGAGAGGTAGACTTCTGTACCTCAGAGACCAATCCCTTTTGCAAGGTCCAGAGAAAATAATCTGAGTACTGGCATTGGTGCATGGTAATCTTTACTTTCTTTATTTAGTATTATTTGTGGGAAAGTGGGTTTTCTGTGCTTACTGCCGGGCTGACAAAGCCTTTCAGCTTCAGACTCCCTTCAGACCACAGCTGGGAGAGCTGCAGACTGAAAACTTTCCAAGTCTGAGTGAAAAGAAAATGCTGTCCTAGTGTCAGCAAAGCCAAATAGACATTCCTTATCTTTCAGCAAGCTGTACCCCTCACATTTAACTTTGTAAACGGAGGTGCACCAGAGGCAGAAGCAGCGTGATATGCTCCTGCTGTTCCCATGCAGCAATGGCTTACCAAAATAAATCACCTAACAGACTTAGGTAGGCAGGGAAAGGCAGTTTTGCATTAAGCACATCACCCAGGGTTTGCAGCCTCTCCTTGCCTCACACACCCAATGTCAGAGGCACTCTGACAAGAAACAAGGAAGGACCACTTGGCTGAGTTCAGTATTAACTCAGATTTTGTAGTACCCAACCCACCAAACCACCACAGCACCAGCCAACTCCCTTGCCAGCACAAAGCCATGTAGCCCTGCAGTCAGCTCAGTGCACACCTCGCCCCTTCTGCCCTTTCTCCTCCAAACAGGAATTCCCCTAAGCCTCCCAGGTCCCAGTCTTGTCCTGAGGGACCACTCATAGGCACCCACCATGTGAGAAAGGCTCTGCCCCACAGGGCCACCACCTGCTCAGAGTCCTGAGAAGGTGCTTGAGACTGTTGGGCCTGGGCAGGTGACCTTCACTTGGCTGCAGATCCTGAGAGGGACCCAACTTGAGGAGCTACTCTTGGACTCCTTTTCCAGCCAGGTACTTTGGGATAGGGAAAGAAAGGGTGGGACAGCAAAAGGACCAGAGCAGGTCTGTGAGAAGTGAGAATGAGGCTCAGAAGGGATAGAAATTGCTTTTATTAAAAACATTCTAAAATGTTATTTATAAAATGCATTTCATCCTCTGCACTGGGAAACAATTCAGGAACATACAACTGTTGAGGCCTCTTAATGCTTTCAGAATTTCAACTCACAAAACAGGCTTAAGCTATAGAAACTTGTTACACATCTAACACCACAGGCAACTGTAGATTTCAAGGATTTTAGAAAGATTTCAGCCTTCAAATATCAATTTGTTTAAAGAGAGACTTTTGATAAGCAACCCATGTGTATACCTGGAAATATCCACTTAGTACAGCAGACTCATCAATGGTTTGTGCCAAAATACAGTATTAAAAGTTACAAAATAAATAATTTGCAGAATTCAAAAGTTATTTAATAAATAAGGATGCATTGTGAGATACCCAATGTACAGTAATTTCTCCACTAAAAAACCCAACCTGTATAGAAATCTGAATAAATACCCTTTTGTGAATTTAATTTTAACAAGTAAACAACTCACCCTTCCCTTCCAATTCCCAGATTAACACTGAAGGAGATTTAACTCCTCCAGACTGAAGGAGTATGTGAAACAAACAAAAGTACTTCATTTATTTGCCTCGAGAGTTTATCAGTTTAAAGTCACTCCCACACTCCTTGGGACAATTTGTCCCAAAACTGCAAAAAGCTTTTAATCATTTAACTTACTGTGATGTGGTTCTGTTCTTACACAGGTCTGCTTGTTTTACACAGTGCATTAAAGACATGAAGACTAAAGCCCTACTGTAACTCCAGTAGGTTTTGAGATGAATTCACAGCACAACAGAAGCAAAGGTCACAATGATTCCAAAGACATTGGAATGTATGTTGAACACATTTATATCTGCAAAGCAAAGGCCCCAAACAGCAGCTGAGGACTGTACCAATTGGCATTCATCCATAGCTTCCCTGGAAAGGCACTTCTTTCACTGCAGGAGTTTTAGCTACTGGAAGTTCCATATGGACTTAGTTGGGGTCACTTTCAAAGAGGCACAAAGGGAAAAAGAATCTTCAAATTAAAAAAAAAAATAAAATCACTTTGGCCTTCAACTCAGGAAAGTGAAACAGATGTTAGCAGTATTTCGAGAATCCTCTGTCAAGTTAAACAATGTTGATGGAATGCTGTGTGCAGCTATGATTCAATTTAAGAGGTTTTTAATTGGATTACTTCAAAGATACGTTTAGACAACAGCTACACAAACAGCTGAGTCAGCACAGCTGATTTATGGCAGTGCCATAAATCAGGTCTGCTGCCAAGAGAGTAATAAGCCTATTTTAATATAGTCATAGGTTAAAACAATAAATCTAAGCCCCACATTAACTTTTGGCAAGGTTTAATACAAACAAAATTATTCTGGAGAAGACAAGAAAATGCTTAGAACCACCTGTTACTAGAACTTACCTGGTGAAGACTGGGCTGATGGGTGTTGAAGTCACTCTTGGCTGAATGACATGTTTTTATCATAGAAATTTCTACACAGATAAAGAATTCAACTTGCCTTTAAGTATTGCTTTATTCCTCCAAAGAGAGTAGAACTGTCACCAACTAGGAGTTTTTTTCAGATCAGTAATTTTTTTCTCCTCATGCATTTTCAAGATAGCTGGATAGCAAACTATTTGTCTAAAAGAGAGTCCTAAGAAGTGCCACCTCAAACCCCAAGGTACACACACTGTTTTCTTCCCAATAGGACAGCTACAACCTCTGTTCAGTTTAGAGTGAGGACATGACAAAACTTAATCCAGAGATATGAGCTAAAAAGTATGAAGGAGTTGGGTCAATTTTCATTTACTAGGATTACAGGAACTAGACTTCATCCAGGCCATGGATGAAGTCCCACATTTCTGTCCCACACTTTCTCCCTGAGGACAGGATGGCTTGGGGTCCATCAGGGGAAAGACATCACACACTTGCAGATGAACAACAGTGAAATCTGTATTGGTCAAATTCAAGGGTAGACAGACAAGTGTGGCTTTGAGATACATAAAATTACTGCAGTTTTAAAACAAGGCAGGGGAGGTATGAATATCTCTGTGGAGAACATCAGTGGTAGAACAGCAGCACCTGTGTGTTAACCATCACAGCCAGATCAGGAATTAAGGCCTTGGAGACACATCAAGTAACTGTTGGCAAGAGCTACGTTTTCAATAAGGTTCCCCGAAACATGAGACAATTCTCCATAGAGCCTCAGCAATACCATTATGCTGTTATGAACAGCAGAAGAATCAAGTGAATGCCTAAGTCTCATTCAAGCTGCAACATGCCTTTTAGAAAGGTGCTTAAATGCTCAAATGGCTCAATCTAATAAATAAATGTAAGCTGAGCACTGCCAGTGCCCTGTGCGTTAACACTGCTTCACAGTTAAGGTATTGGACCTGGGAATACCTACAGTACCACATTATCTCAAACCTTTGGTCACAGTCCCTTTATATTTTAAACACACACCGCTCCAGGATTTGCTAATAAAATTTAGCAAGAAAATGTGGGTGTGTCATCACTAGCATTTTCATCCAATAGCCAATCTCCAAGTAAATACAGCACACTTCAGAACTCGTTTGTACCATTAAAGTAACATCAAGCTTTAACACAGGTAGGTGTCCAGTAACACCTCACTGGAACAGATAAAAATGAAATAGAATACAGCTAAGATTAGGCTCCACTGCCAGTCAGATGAGTGTGCACCTTCAGAGCACACTTTTGGAGAGCTGGAATGCAATTGGGAAGAGTTTCTTTTCAGTTAAAATTAGTCTTCCGTAAATTCTTATTAGGGATTTCTACGGCACTGACTTGAAGAGGCCAGGACCCCGCAACAATTCCTGCTTGGATGGCTACACCTGTCACAACTGCCAGGTCAGGATCTACAGAGGTGTTGGGTTCCTTCCCAAAGAAGTCCCGAATAACTTTACGTATTTGGGGAATCCGTGTGGAGCCACCGACTAACACAATTTCATCCACTTCTCCTTTGTCTACGTGGCCATCCTGCAACACTTGTTCAATGGGCACAAGAATCTTCTCAAAAAGGTCTTCATTTAACCTCTCAAACAGCTTCCGAGAGATTTCCATTTCAAACACAACTTCAACAAAGCCGTTCTCTACTTCGGAAGTGTCTCCAAGACTGTTCAGGTCTCTTGTTTTTTGTGAAGTCTCACCTTTTAGTGCACTGTTTGGTTTTACCTGACTTTTTGGAAGTTCTCTGGTAAGCCTGCTTTCTGGCAGAGTCAACACCACACTTAGTGTAGCTGCCTCATGAACAGTCAGATTTAATTTAACTGCTTCCACAGCCTGTCTGAGGCGGTGAATCTCTTCCTTTCGGGTTGGCAGAGAACCGTATGTTTGACGGAGGTGATCATACAAATACAGCATCAACCTCTGATTGAAATCCTGTCCTCCAAGTTTGTTGTTACCTGAAAGATCAGAACAGAAGGCATCAGACACATCACTTTCAAAGCAGCATGCACCTTCTTTAATGGGAGGTGGTGCTCAAGGACCAGAATAATCATGCAAGCAAAAGAGCTCACAGAGCTGTGAAAACAGACAAAATTGTTGTCCCCTGAAGAACAAATGATGGATAAAAATTTCCATTGGTTTGACTGAGAACAGGAATTTACTCAGTGGACCTCTGTCTAAATAAATCAGAATGAAGCTGCTGAATCTTCCTTGCTGTTCCACTCTTACAGCAGCTCACATCAAAACTTGCTCATGAAGGTTGGCACTGCACCTCAGACCTGTCTGCACCCAAGTCATCTGAAAGGCAGTCGTGCACTCACTACAGTCTGACTAAATATTGCTGCCACTTGCCTCTGTGCCGAGTGATAAATCATCCTGGCACACAGGAATCAAAAAACTTACTTCTGGGCATGGGCATTCCCAAAACCTGCTTCACTGAGCTGGCACCAAACACAAAGCCGGGATGCTTTTCAGCCCTGGTCAATGATTTGCCAAGTATTCCTAATCTGGACAGAGGTAACAGGAAGATTTGTAACAACCCTCGCCCTGCAAAAGCCCAGCCAAAGTAACTGTAACATGCACCAGCACTTTACTAGTGGGCACAGAAGTTGACAGCCGTGGATAAAATGAAACCACGACTTACCCCTCAGCCAAAACGTGTGACTCTGTGATCTTACTCACTGAAACCAGTCACAAACCTAATTCTGCATGAAAAGCAGCAGAGAATGCATTGGGAGAACATTTTATGGCACAACTGGTAGGTTTTAGAAAGCTCCTCCAACAGCAACTTCATATGCACCTTTCCTCCCACTCCTTCAGAAACAAAAGGATTTTTCTCACCTGCCATGGCTCGTGTGTAGAACATCCCTCCTATCTTGTTCAACAGAGACACATCCAAAGTTCCTCCACCCAAATCCACCACCAGAACATTAAACACATCAACTTTGTGGAGTCCATAAGCCATAGCTGCAGCTGTGGGCTCACTGATTACTCGCAAAACCCTCAGCCCTGCAAAGAGCAGAAACAAGAAGCAACAGTCAAGTACACTTCAGAAAACTGCAGTTCTCACATCAGAATGACATTTGCCATTATTTTATTTTTTTTAAACCAGATTCATTTTAAGTTAAATATCAGATCTAAGGGAAGTAGTTTTCTGAGGGGTAGTACTCAATTGACTCCTTTCCTTATTTAATCCTAAAGTAGTACTGCTTCAGCATCAGGGCTAAGTCATGAACCACCACTTCCCCAAATACATTTCTTCTGGACAAACCTTGCTAAGGAGCCTTAACTTCATACATTCTGTTTCTGTTATTGCCCAAGGGTGCTCTATATAGTCTCCCTATTTGGAGATTACCAAAAACTCTATTTTCCCCAAAGCAAAACCTCCTTCTTCCAGACACCTATGTCTGCATTATCCAGTTGCACCTGCTGGGACTTGGAGACTGAATCCATTCTAAGCTTCTCTATCACTGATTCACTGTTTCTATATCCTCCCCAAAGACCTTGCTGTTAGGGAAACAGACCTGAAGGTTTCCTACAAAAACACTGGAATACATCACCTGCAAGGTTAGCTGCCTTAACGGTAGCATTCCGTTGCCTTTCATCAAACTCTGCTGGCACAGACATGACTGCCTTGGAAATGGGCATGCCAAGGTTGGCTTCTGCCATTCTCTTCAGCTTCAGCAGCAGCTGGGAGCCAATCTGCTCTGGAGTGACGTGAAAGGTTCCATTAGCTGTCACGGAAAATTCAGCTGATCCGTTGTTGTTGAAAATCTAGAAAGATAAAGCAACACAAGCCACAGGTGAGAAGTCATTTTCCCACCCTGCTCCCACCACGTTTTATCTGCACACAGTGTCTTTAATCTGCAAAAATACAAGTGTGCTTTTGCCACTGCCTAGATCACATTAATTTCTTGACTTGGAGAATTACAGAAAACATGCCACTTAAGGGGTCCAAGTATATCCAAACAAGTGACACCCACTGAACCCCAGTAAGACACATCAAAAGAAGTTAAGACCTAGCAACTGTGTAATCCATTTCAACACCACAAAGACAGAAGTGATGCTTTTTAATCATTAGGTTACCCTACTGATAAAGCTTCCCACCACTTCTTCTTTCTGAAAGGAAGAAAACAGCTTGGTACCGGAACAGCTTCTCTTAACAAGTAAAGAATTCAGAAACTATTTGCAGGACCTGAAAATTGGTCTGTTTTCAGCAAATTCTGCACCATGTTCAATTAATGTTAGTAAAAGGCAGCTTTCAGCAAATTCTGCACCATGTTCAATTAATGTTAGTAAAAGGCAGCTTTCAAGACCTGCTGCTGGTCAAGTAAGCACTAGAAAAGTGGTAGACGAAAAAAATGCACTGGGGCAGAGATGCGACTTTTAAACTTTTATTTAATCTTTTTTTTAGAATTTCAGGGGAGAAGTGAAGTTTCAGCAAAGTACAGTTAGCATTTCAAGTTGAAATTTATCCTTCCAGAGAAGGGGCTGGAAGGTTACCCAGACACACATTTCCTTGTAGGAAAAACCAGGGTTTTATGGAAAATCACTGTCAGCTCTTGTGCAGGGGTACATGACTTCCACAACCATCTCCTTCCCCTCTCTGGATATCTCTCATGGTTTTCAGGCAGATTTAGCCAAATGACTCAAGGTCTGACAAGCTGATCACCTGTACAAATTTCAAGTGTCACAGAATCACAGAATGGCCTGGGTTGGAAGGGACCTTAAAGCTCATCTTGTTCCAATCCCCTGCCGCGGGCAGGGACACCTTCCACTAGACCAGGGTGCCAAGAGCCCATCCAACCTGGCCTTGAACACTGCCAGGGATGGGACAGCCACACCTTCTCTGGGCAACCTGTTCCAGTGCCTCACCACCCTCACAGCAAAGAATTTCTTCCTAATATCTCATCTAAACCTGCTCTTTCCCATTTTGAAGCCATTCTCCCTTGTCCTGTCACTACGTGCCCTTGTAAATAGTCTCTCTCTACCTTCCTTGAAGGCTCCCTTTTAGCTACTGGAAGACTACAATTCGGTCACCCCAAAGCCTTCTCTTTTCCAAACTGAACAATCCCAATTCTCTCAGCCTTTCCTCATAGAAGAGGTGCTCCATCCCTCTCATCAACTTGGTGCCTCCTCTGGACTCACTCCAACAGCTCCATGTCTTCCTGTGCTGGGGACCCCAGAGCTGGAGGCAGCACTGCAGGTGAGGTCTCACCAGAGCAGAGCAGAGGGGCAGAATCCCCTCCCTCCCCTGCTGCCCACACTGCTCTGGATGCAGCCCAGGACACGGGGGGGTTTCTGGGCTCCCAGTGCACATGGCTGGGTCATGTCCAGCCTCTCACCCACCAGCACCCCCAAGTTCTCCTCAGCAGGGCTGCTCATCCCCCAGCCTGTACTGTGTCCTACAGCGTCCTGCCTGGAGGGAACTGAAGATGCTGCTTACCTTAAAGGGATACCTGCTGCTTTCACTTTTCAGTTCTTCCAAAGTGAAGATTTTCCCAATGAATCTCTTGGCATCATATATGGTGTTCTGAGGGTTGGCATCAGCCAGCTCCAGGGCATCATATCCCACATACACCCCTTGGTCTGTGAAGGAGACCACACTTGGGATGCTTTTGTGCCCATTCTCATCTGCAATGACCTTCACCTCTCCTATTCCAGGCAGGAAGACACCAACGGAGCAGTAAGTGGTGCCAAGGTCAATCCCAAGGACTCTGGGGGTGGGCATGGGCAAGTACTGCTGTGCCAGGTAGCTGGCCAACAGGAGAGCCAGAACTGCAGAGCCTGAAACACAGAGTGGTAAAAAACAGGGTTAGAGGATCTCCTGCTGCAAAGCTGTCAGTCAGTGCAAATGGCACAGTGTCACACTCTGCACCTCCTGCGGTTTTATTTCACACACTGGAGCCTGTTCAGCTCCCTAATTAGTTTTTAATTTCTTCAAAGGTCACCAGCAAATTCAGGTCTCTTAATTGAACAGAGAGTGGCTGTCAAAAATCTCAGCCATTAAATACTAAACTGATGAAAAAAAGAAAGCACAAGAGAGAAGGCAAACTCAAAAATATCACCACACTGTAATAATTCCTTTTCTCTCTGCAAGTTACTTCAATAACACAGGCTAATTCATACTTCAGGGGGAGTGCCTTTGAATGACCCCAAAAGGACACAGAATTAATGGGGCTGCACAAAATCCCAGTGAAACAACAAACTCCCAATTCAAACACCTCCTCCAGCTTCACTGAAGCCTGAAAATAAGGAGATACAAACCCCTGCTGACTCATTCTGTTTCAGACAGAGCTCCCAAAAAGCATCTTTTCTATGCCTTTAAATCAAGGGTTAGACTTAAGTGCAGAGTAGTTTTCTGTTTGATTAGTTTTGCCTTTAATTTTATTTATAATCATCAGGCACAACAGGAAACCCAAAAGTCCTGGTTTGGTCTGGGCTGTTTATTTGTGAGCCATGCACCACTGAGCGCTCCGGCTGAAACAGAATCCTAGAACGGGTCAGGCTGGAAGGGACCACAGTGGGTCACCTGGTCCAACCTCCCTGCTCAGCAGGGTCATCCCAGAGCACACGCTGATCTGTTCCCGTGCATCAGTTTCTCCCGTTGCCTCTTGTCCTATCGCTCGGCATCACCGAGCAGAGCCTGGTCCTTCCCCTGACACCTCCCTGCAGACACTGACAGACCTTGGGGAGGTCCCCTCTCAGTCGTCTCTTCTCCAGGCTGAACAGAGACAGCTCCCTCAGTCTTTCCTCCCAGGTGAGATGCTCCAGTCCCTTAATCATCTTTGTCCCCTCCGCTGGACCCGCTCCAGGAGCTCCGTGTCCCTCCCGGACTGAGGAGCCCAGAACTGGACGCAACGGAACGCACCGAGCACGGGAAGCTCGAGCCACCCTGGAGAGACAGCCCGGGGCGATACCGCCGGCAGAGAGACGCGAGAGCCCCAGTGAATCCCCCCACGAAAGCCCCCTAAACGCGTCCCAGCCGCGCCGCCGCCTCACCCAGTACCGCCATCTGCCCCGCCATGACTGCCGGCAGCTGCTGACGGCTCCTTCCGGCCCGCGCGGGGCACGCCGGGACCGGTAGTACACGCGCCCCGCCCGCCCTTTTCACTCCGTTCCACTACGGGGCGAGCGAACCACAACTCCCGGCACGCATCGCGGCGCCGCCGGTTCCGGCGGGTATCGGCCAATAGGCGTCACACGTTAGCAGAGGAGGGGCGGGCGGCCGGAGGGGCAGTGCATGCGCATCTCCGGGCGGGGCGGTCGCTGTGGCTGCTGGGAGTGGTAGTCCGTCCCCCGGCGCCATGTTCCCGTCGCGCCCTCCCGCCGGCGAGCGGCGGCAGAGACCGCGGATGTGGCGATGCGGAGTGAACGCAGCAGCCCGTTAATAAACACAGCCAAAAAAGTTGTTGTTATATTCCTGACTGAAAAGGGGAGATTTGCTCATACACTATGTGTCTGATCAGTCTGTGAGTCCGCCAGGCAAGGCGAGGCCCTTTGCCCGACCAGTCCGCCCCACACTGTCACGGGCACTCCTCACTGGATCAGCGGCGCTTCCACTGAATTACCAAGGGTCACACACCAAACAGAGAGACCCCGCCCGGGCCTCCACACCTTTACCCACTGCCAGCACCGTTATAGGACTCACGTTAACAGTGTACACAATAACTCTGTTAATGTGATAATGACAGGTTAAGGTTCCAGCACTGCCAGTGACAGTATCTGACTGCAAAAACATATTCAAGACAATATACTAATTCAAGGCAATATACAGACAAGCCACCCTAATAAAATCCCTAATAACAATTAGCATGAGATGATCATTCAGTGCACACAGAGCACAGCTCTTACCCAATAGGTGTCCCTATGAGGGAGAAGAGAGGTTCAGCTCACCAACGGATCCCAGAAGTTGTGATGTAGTCTTCCCTAACTTCTCCCCATTCTCAACTTACTTTTATACTATTTCTTTACGTTTAGGTGGAGGTTGAGTGACTTTAGCCATGCATACTCAGTCAGAAGTGGTTGTAAATTGGGGATGGATATCTCAGTACCTGAGATACCCTTGCGATGGGGACGTGTCTGTCCAAGGAGAGGGATTTTGCCACAGTTGCTGGCTCAACAGCAGGACATCTTCCTTTATTTCCGTCGGTTTTCAGCTGCTGAGCAGCTGATCAGCTAGAAAGTTACATCCTTTGCAAGAGTTTTGACAGAGTCTGGCTGCAGTGTCTCCACTCTGCTCCACCCTCCAATTAGTCCCCCTTGGTTTGTGTTGTGTGGGGGAGGTCGGGTGTGCTGACTGTGCTCCATCCGGGGAGTAGCAAACGTATTTTCCCTTATGGTTTCCAAATCATTATCTTTTTAGCCCCAGTCATGTTCTCACACTGACATTCCTATTTCAGAGCTCAGGCCAGGTGGGCATCTGCCATGTCAGTTCAGGGGCAGTCACTGGGTCTGGCTGCTGCACACTGGGGGTGATGTGGAAAAGCACTGGGTGCTGTGTCTGTGCACAAGGAAACCCCTGCTCAGGGACCTGACCTTTACTCCCACTGCCTGTCTCGGGACATGGGAAGGGCTTTTAATCCAACATGTTAAGCAGTGGCAGAGCACTTGTGTTTCATCTGCTCCTGTTTCCAATGTAGGGACTCTCTAAATGAGGGCAAGAGTCAGGTTTAGAAAGGAGACATTGTTTACTCTGTATAGTGGTCAAGGTTTTCCACATATCAAGCACACTGATTCTCAAAACTTTATACATATACATTTTAGCAAACAAAGAAATCACAGGTCATTGGCTACAAGTTACCTAGTTCTCTTATTAATTAGTATTCTACCTCCTATTGGTTAAATTATTCTCTCATTTCCTATTCTAATTAGTCCACATGCAATGGTTCAACAGTGAGACAGCCATGGCAGTTTTTACCTCTCTGTGTCAATGGCGAGGGGAGATTTTCTTCTTGCCCACCTGACATTTAGACACGTAAGGAAAATGCAGGTGAAACCTGCTCCTCAAATGCAACCTGGAGGAGCAGAAGTGGTAATCACTCCAAGAAATACAATGTCAAGTACAATGTAGGTTCTTTTCTTGTCAGCTGTCTCTCTCCTATGCTCTGCTCTCATAAGCAGTAAAGGATTGGCAGGCTCTTCCAGATGAGGTTTCTGTTTCAGGTAGAAATTAATTTAATGTAGCTTAATATAGATGCTTTTTATTAGAAAATATTTGTAAATGAACAGCTGTTAGCAAATAGTATAGTGGGAGAAAAGTTAGACTAAGTTCCATCGCAGTTACCATCTTTAGCACCTCTGTTTCTCCTGAGTGATGGAAACACATTGTGCTGGTTTAAAAGTTAACCAGCAGGGGAAATGAACTCAACTCAAAAGAGAGATTGTAAGTCAGAATAACAATTTAATAAAATAATACAATAAGCACAACTACACAGACAAGCAATTGGTATCAACCCACAAAACCCAAATGTACAACCTGGCACCCCAGGGCACAAACAAAACAGTGCTCCCTGGGCCCCCCCTGAGTCCAAAGCAAAGGGAGAGGGGAAAAAACCTGCTGGTGGGAGAGCTGCTGCAGTCCAGCTAAAAGTGGTGATTGTAGTCCAGCCGAGGGTGGTGGTGAGCTGCAGTCCTCCTCTGGGTCCCACGAGTGGAGAGAGTGGCAAGGTTCTGAAACTCCAGGTTTATATATTCTCCAGCTCTGGCAGCAATGCTTAGCCCCTCCCCCAGAGTGGGGAATTCCATAAAAGGATGTTCAGTCCTTCCCTCAGAGTGGGGAATTCCATAAAAGGGTGTGAGGGTGCTCAGTCAGGGAATTTCCACAAAAGGGCATGAGGACAGGAGCATGGGGGGGGGAGGGGCACCTCGCAGGCCTCTACTGACAACAGTTTCTGTGAAATGGCATGGAGGGCTATAGAATACACAGTTTTGGGCTACACCCATCCAATGATGAATCGGTCCCAGCTGTTCTAACTAGGACACACATATAACCCAAAAGTAATTCCCAGGAGCTTACTTCTCAAAAGCTTCTTCTATGTGCAAAAAAGAGGCACCACTTTAACTTAACAGGGTAAAGAGTATGCATCCTCCACTTATGGTTAACACAGTTACAGTGATGTCTTCGTTCTTGGCATGAGAAGGTGGTAAGGGGAGAGGAGGTTAAGCCATTCAACCTCCTTAATGACTCATGATCTGACTGTTTTCTAATTACATAGGTAACTAATTTCTATTCCATATGTAAGAGTTGGATACTTTAATCATGTTTTTTGAAGTTGGGACCATTGTAATTGTGCTCATTCTCAAGTGGGGGGAAACTTGTAATCATTGTTTACAGTACTTCTTCACGCATATAACTCATGAACAGGCACTTTGTTTTTTGTGCAATTCTCTGTGGTGATCAGAAAAAAAAGTTTAGTATAAACGGGGCATACAATCAAACTGGATTTCGCTCATAATTTTGATATTTAATAGCAAGCTTTTTTAATACATAGGGGCCATCTGAAATATCATGCGGCAGACTGCAGATATGTAGGGATGTTTTTAAAAAAATACTAATACAAAGCCTCATTTCAGAGATTTCTTCCTTTTCTAAAGCTTAGGCTAGGCTTTGGGTTTTGTCCTTGAGGTTAAACCTCTGAAACACGTCGGGATCACTTGATCCCAACTGAAGGACAGAACTCAAATGCCCTTTCCTATATAGTTTCCATTCTGTTTCTCCAGAGCAAAGCTGCTTAATGAATTCAGCGTATCAGTCCCCACCTGACTGACTCCCTGGAGGCATGACTGTTCCCTGCAGGATTACACAGCATGGGCCACCTGCCTGGGAGTCAAATCAAGGAGAGCATCTCAACAGGCGTTCTGCCCTGCAGCAGAAACTTCTTCAGAAGCCACCGACTCCCCTGCATCTGTTTTGGGCTTTTGTGTAGTTTGAAGGCTCAATCCACTGTACATACTCTGTAGTCCCTTGAAGGCAACATTTGGTTTTCAGTAGCTATGCTTAGATGAATTCCAGAAGTGTCTAATTTTTTTTTCCCCACATCTTCTCCATGACCTGTTAGGACCTGCTCCTGGATGCTCCTGGACTCTGCACAGAGATACCAGACTTCTCTTGCATCCACACAGTTGGCAGAACTAATCCTAGTGAGTTTGTCGTTGTGTTCTTGGACATTACCACAGAGTCTTCTGCATCAGCTTCCTTTACCCACCCTCACAGAGCTCTCATTCATGAGAGTGAGACCTGTTTCTATTTTCCTCTGTTATCTGAGGGAATGCTACACCCACCCTGGGTTGTTCAGGAGCAGAAGGGAACATTCAGCGCTTCTGGAGAAAATAGCTTAATTTTGCACAGAATAATTGAATATTCATTTGTCAATAGAAGGAGAGGCATATTTGACTGGGAGGGGAAAGCTTTGGATAGCCCCTGCCCCGCAGACTGCCTCATGGGGAAAGCATAAATGTGGTTAAGGGCAGACACTGGAAGGCTGGTCTTTTTTCCTGAAACCATGTACTTTATCCCCTTCCCTGTAACAGCAGGCAAGGCACACACGGCCATGTTGAGCATCCTCGCCTGAGGGTGGGCAGTGCAAGTTCAGACTCGAAAAAATGCTTTGAAAAAGCCAATCTCTGTGATAAAGCTGAGTGATGGTGAGAGAGGTGCTGCAGTGACGCTGGCTGATAGTCTGAGCAGCCTCTGGTGCCTGCTGGTTTGGATACCTGGGCTATGCCAGCTGTGCCACATCCACTAGCCCTTGGCCACCACCCACTGGGCCCTCAATATTCGCCTGCCACTGGCTTGAGTGTAATGGGGGCGTGCAGCTGACGCCCTCAGAGGGTCTCAGCCAAATGCTTGTTTATCCTTCTTAGTGCATCTGTTCACTCTGGTAGTAAGCTGTTTATAACATTTCAAACGGTTTTCAGGGATTAATTTCCTTCAAGGGGCTGTTCTTTTCTCCTGGTGCTTTGATAGGTGGAGGTAAACATGTTTTTGTCTGCAAGTAGCTTGAGGGAGAGAGTTGTTCTTACAATGTAACAGCAGAGGCTGGTTTTAAAACGGTCTCCCATCAGATGTGAACTGGTGTCTGCAGGAAAAATCCTGCTACACTGGGG